GGCCTTTAGATGTCTCTAAGCTGCCATGTGTTTTCCAGCGTTATTTCTGAGTGCTGTGCTTTTTCTGCAAGCTGTTTGGGCTCCTGGGGGCTCTTCCTAAGGCCCCGTAAAGCACACACAGTGTCTTCAGGGCAGCACTGGGCTTTTCAAACCTATAAACAGGGTGGTTTAGGCCATCCTAGTGTCTCTGGGGCTGTTCTAAGGTTGTTAGCACACCACTTGGGTTGTTCTCCAGGTCTCTGAGTGGATGTCTTTGAACTGCTGGAGCTGCTTGAGGTGTGCTGGAGCTTTCTTAGTTATCCCAAGTCTGCCACAAATTTTCCAGGCCTCTGGCACCTCGAAGCCATGCTCAAGAGTTTATTTCCTGGGCCTGTTCTTAGATTGACTGGAGCTCTTTCAGAGTTTGAAGGCATCCTGTCAGACTTATGGGAGCTGTGTGTGAGTTTCCAGGGGCTATGGGGTCTTTACAGCTATTGTGGATCCTCAGGGGCTATGGGCTCCAGTTCCTTATGAATGTGGGAGCTTCCTCTGGGGTCATCTACTGGGCACTGGTGAGGGTACACCTGCGATACCATGTCAAGATCCGGACTCCACGGTACAAGCAAGACATGGGTATACCTGGAAGGAGTTCAATGAACATGGGGCCAAAGCGGCTGATGACAGGGTCAGACCCTTTGTGAAAAGGGGCTTCACTAAGGGAAGCCTGGGGGGCTGTCACGCAAATAAGTAACAAGTAATTAATTTTGAATCTCTTCAGATTGGATATTAAGAGAAGGTTCTTCACTGAGAGAGTGGCTGGTCGAGCACTAGAGCAGCCTCCCCGGAGAAGCGGTCACAGCACCAAGCCTGCCGGACTTTAAGCACGGTTTTCACAAAGGTCTCATCTACGCAGCTTGATTTTTGGGTGGTCCTTGTCGGAGCCTTGAGGGTGGCGGCTCTGAGCTCGCCTCTGCCGCCTGCTGACCCAAAGGCATTCCTGCGACGCCGGACAGAGCGAGGTTCACTGCTGCCTCCCGGTGGCTGCGAGGGGACATCGAGGGGACATTGCAGTGCCACTGCTTTGGGAGTCTCAGCGAGGCCTCAAGACTTCTCCTATGAAGACAGGCTGAGAGACTTGGGGTTGTTCAGCCTAGAGAAGGCTCTGGGGGGACCTTAGCATCTTTTTGGTACCTAAAATGGCCTACAGGAAAGTTGGAGAGGGACTGTTTGTCAAGGAGTGTAGTGATAGGACAAGGAATAATGGCTTCAAACTAAAAGAGGGTAGATTTAGATTCAATATAAGGAAGAAATTCTTTACTGAGGGTGTAGTGAGGCACTGGAAGAGGTTGCCCAGAGAAGTTGTAAATGTCCCATCCCTGGAAGTGTTTAAGGCCAAGTCAGATGGAGCTTGGAGCAACCTGGTCTAGTGGAAGGTGTCCCTGCCCATGGCAAGGGGTGTTAGGATTAGACGATCTTTAAGGTCCCTTCCAACCCAAGCCATTCTATGATTCTATGAATTTTCATCACAGTTATGCAACTTGGTGAAGGTGCTATTAACTGTTTACAACAGGCTAGCAGCAGCTGAACCATTGATCAAGGGCAGAAGTGTAAACTTACATGCGCCAACAACTGTTCTCAAGCCTCTTCTTGGTAGTAAACCACCACCTTTACAGGCAGCATCTACGACCACTGTGGGCACTGTACATCCATCATTGTGTAGCCACAGATGGCTTGCCTAGGCAGACTGGAGTTACCAAAGTCACACAACCTATAGTAATGCGCACTGACTGTGCAGAGCCTCCTATCCAGGAGGTCCTGAATTCAACCCGTCATCTAGACAGTGTCTGGTTTACTGACAGGATACAGGGTCAATTCCTTGGAATTTACCCTGTATCCTGTATCTGTCTCTGTAGCAGATGAACGTGTCACAACTGAATGAACATAAGGTTCTGTTCATTCACAACTGAATGAACATATAGTTCTCTATATAGGGCCATATAGTTCTAGCTCTTAAAAATGGTTATTGCTCTGTCTGAGGGACTGCCTGCTGGAAACCGGAGCAACAATTCTCAGAACCTCCTTTTGTAATTGTTTTTTCTTGCAGCTAACATACCTGTGCCTCTAGGGTCAAGGTAGATTCCCCATCCCATTTTCTCATGTCGTCTCCAAGGTCACACAGGTAAAACCACTGGGTGGCATGTGGTGTGTACCCACTCTATCCCCTTTCTTGAGCAAATGGACACTTAACTCCTGATAGATGAGACACTGCTTTGTACACGTGGGGAGGAAGATATATTCTCTTTAAGTTGATGGACCTCTTGGTAGTTTCTCCATAGTCAAGACACAAGCCCATAGGGAAGAAAAGAGACTTCCTTCCTACTGCTGGAGTTGGCTAGACAATTCATCCACCATGGGTTCCTCTTGGTCTTTCCAGGTCATTACTGCCAATGGCTGGCATATGATGATGGTGTGCTCTGTACAAACTTCCACCACATGGCTCATGTGCACTTGACTTGATTTGGATCTTTGGATATCTGTTCATTGTCTAGGTTACCATAAATCATCTCCAGCATAGCTAATTCCCTCAGGTACTGCATACCCCTATTCCTCTATAGGGATTTCTAAGTTTCCATGGAGACACCTGGTATAACCAAGTGTTCAAATCTCACCCAAAGGCATCCCAATGTGGGGGGAAGAGGGGGCTCAGCCTGCTGACTGATGCCAGTCAGGAAATAGATTCCTTTGTGATGGTATCTCCCCTCATGATGGTATCTTCCCTAACATCCTCTCTCTTTTAAGCCAATTCTAATTATTTTCTATCTTTTAGGTAGAGCTTGAGCGACTCTGGTCAAGTGTATCTTGGTTATGATTGGTAAAAAGTTTTCTCGCTTTTCGTTTAAAGGTAATAGGCTCCAAGAAATTCAGAGCACGTGCTCAGTGAGGGATGGTCACACCTTGGAGGCAGGTAACTTTTGGGATGGAGGTGTGTTCTGGTACTATAATGATATTGTAATGAGCAAAAGTTCACTGGAGTACTGCATTTTGTCAAAAACATGACAGGTCGTTGGTCAGGGTAGCAAATGTGCAGCTTATCGGTCTCGGTGTGCACAAGAACAATCGAGTCCCCAGATGCTCAGAGAGCCTAGCTGTGGTATCTCCACTCCGTTCTACACTCCGTACTGTTCCTTAGAGTCAGCACACTAAGTTCCCCTAGTGCAGTAACATCTAAGGTTGGAAGCGTAGGGAATGCTTAGGTAGTGCAGCTACACTCAACCCTGAAAGCTTCTTCAATACTGTACATTTTCTTTAAAATGTGAATATCCGTTTAATTTTTCCAAGTCACTTTAAGCAATTACTCCACAACAGCCAAATGTGAAATGTTTTATGAACAGATAGGCCAAACCTTTACAACCTTTAGTTTGACAGAAGGAAGTTTAAAAACTTTGTAACTGTAAATGATGATCCAGGACTGGGAGTTCTCTGAAAAGATTAGGTGAGGAACTCGTGGCACGCATCTATCCCAGGACTTGTAAATGAAGTAGCTTATTGTGGATGCCTCAGAGTTGACTATCACAGTATCAAGGAACATTGGAAGAACCTGAAAGAGAGTTTCTTAGACTGACTTTTACAGTAACAGGTGGTCCTGCGCCCAGATGCGACACTGGCTGCACTGGGAATGGGGATAATGGGGTTCTGGGAGTAATGGGATCAGGACATAGGCACTAGAAGGGACACAACGGGGATCACACGATAGGACCAATGTAGTCCTGGGAGCACTGGGAATGGCGATAATGTGTGCACTGGGATGAAACGGGTAAGGACAGTGGGAGCACTGAGATGATGACAATGGGGCACTGGGATGGGGCTGAGAACACCCGTAGGTGGCCCTGGAGCACACTGAGACATACTGGGACACAGTGGGCCCTGCTGCAACCCCAATGTTTCATGACACCCCCCCCCAAAACACTTCGTGCACCCCTACCCCACTCAAAGTCCTGCCCAAATGACCCCCTCTCATAAAGGCCCCCCATTCACCCTGTGTGATGCAAGGCAGTGCTAGGCACGGCTTTATTCCTCCTTTTTGGGGGGCGGCACATACAGAGCCTCCCCCAGAAGTGGGGTACCGTGGGGGAGGGGGACTTCATTGGGAAAAAGCAGAGGGGTGTTTCCTGGGGGGCTGGCACTGCAGGATGGGGTGGCTGGGCTGGGGAAATGACCTGGTGCCTTGGCTCCCAGTCTGGCCCCTGCAGGGAAACTATAGGGCAGGGGGGCATTTATTATGCCCCAAGCACTGTGCTCCGTCCCACAGCCCGCCCACACTTTGCCCTACAGCCCCACACTCCGCTCCATAATTCCCCCCTCCATCCCCTTTCCCCTTTCCTGCCTAACCCCGCTCCACACTCACCCTACCCCACCTCCCCATGCGCTGCTGTACCCACTATGGGGCTTGGGCTCCCATGTGCCCCACAGCAGGGTCCGGTCACTTTACCTGGGGCTTCTCACAGTGGGGGGGATCTCAGGTAGCTCAGCTCCAGCCATGGAGTGATGTGGGGCAGGAGGCAGAGCAGTGCCAGCAGCAGCACCAGCAGCAGGTGTGGAAGGAGCCTGCAGGGGCACTCAGTGGTCTGGGGGGAGATCTGGGGGGTGCAGCACCCCTCCAAACCTCCAGGGCTTTTCCTGACCCGCAGTGTGGGGTGGGACCCCCACTTACCACCATTTACGCCGGCATTTCTGGTCCACACACTGGGATGGCTGTGGGGAACATGGTGATTGAGGGGGCGGTGACACGGACGTTCCTCCTCTGCCCCCTTCTTGACATTTTCTAGGGGAAAAGATGTGATTCTGATGATTCCTACCTCCCTCCACAGCTCTGTGCTAAGAAGCTGGAAACTGGGGCAGTGATTGGCATTGGGGGGGGGGGCGGTGATGGGCCCTGGGGGATGCGGGGAGGGCTGGAAAGTGGGGGTGGGGTGAAATGGGCAGTATGGGCAAGGGGTAGATGGGAATTCTGGGGACCCAAAGCACCATGTGCCCTCACTCCATGCCAGTGCAGGTTTGCAGGGGCGACACTTGTGTCCACGGTCTTTGCATTCCCACATTTTATTACGATTCTACCCATTTTTTTCCCTCCCACCTTCCTACTCCTTAAGATTCTGACCGCCCCGATTTCTAGCATGCAGCCCCAAAAAGCAGCTGGCGGCCGTCTGCCCTGACCTCCACCTCACAAATATGTATGGTGATTGAGGCTGAGCTAGAAGGAAGGATGAAAACGCAGATTTGGGAGTTTATAGGGGCATTTTCAGCCAGTGAGAGCCCTGTGTCCCCCCAAGTACCCACAGCACCTACGTGGCCAAAGCCTCCAGTGTCTGCCTCAGCAGTCTGTGGAGGCTGCTGATCTCCATTTGTAGCTCCTTGAGTTTGGGGGAAGAAAAAGACTTTGTTAAGGTTTCTCCCATTTCTCCTCTCCATTTTGCTGGATTTGGGGACTTTGTGGGGGCCATGCCCACACAGCGCCCTCGTAGTGCTGCAAAGCCTCCATCAGGTCCTGCATGCCACACATCATCTGCAGAACTGGGGGGAACAGCAACAAATTTGGGGTGCCGGTGGTGGCTCCCATCCCTTTGGAGCCCTGGGGAGCCTTTTCACTTGAGGAGAGGGATCATGTTGCTCACCTTGGCAAAGGCGGATTGTGGCAGGACACCACAGCAACGCAGCAGGGCTGGAGACCATGGCCACATTGGCCTCCACAGATGGGCATAATGGGGGAGGGGCTGCCAGCCTCATGTGTTGTCCCCCCCCAGCTGAGGGAGCTGGTTTGTTAGCATGTGATAAGGCTCGGATGCCTCTTACCTGCAGGATGGCATCCTTCTGTGCCTCTGGTGCCTGCAGATTCTCTTTTCTTCCCTTGGCCTCAGCGAGCAGCGCTGAGTTCTGCTCCAGAGGAAAGTGGGTTGATACCCAGTGAGATTGGACTGAAAGCTGCTGGTGGGGCATTGGGGTGGGGACACAGTGCTGCAGGGCACCCCTGGTTCTTTGTTCCCGTCCTCACCATCTCCTGAAGGCCGGTGACTTCCTCCAGAAGGCCATGCTGCTCCCTTTCCTGGAAGGGAAAAACTGTGCCGTTAAGTTGCTGGGGGCAGCCCCATAATTTGCGGGGTTCAGCCCACTAGTTGGAGGGCATGCAACTGGAGGCTGCACACCACCAGGGCTGGCCCTGCTGAGGCCAACGCAGCCCCACTGCCGAAGGCAGGGCAAAGGCCAGCGACCAGAAGCCAGGAGTCACCGCATCACCTTGGCATTGTTTTAAGAGGAAAAAAAGGGAAAATGAGCAACAGAGTTGCTGAGCAGCTGTTGGGGGGCACTCACCAGACGCTGATTTTGTTCTATCAGGCCTCTCTTCTCCTCCTGGAGCTGTCTCACCTCATCCTCCAAGTCTTCCAGCTTTTGGCTGGATGCCCAGCCATGCTCCAATGCCTGATGGGCCCTGCAAGAGACAGATGGCCGCTGGTAGTCACCCGGCAGCACTGCTGCAGAGACGCATCTGCAGCTTCCCACATGTCCCTGTCCCCTGCTCCCAGCACCTATGAGTGCCCCCTGAACGGTGGAGCTGCTCCGTCAGCTTTGCCACCTCCTCAGCCAGCTGGGCATTCAGCTCCTCGGCTGACTCCAGGGCACGGCGCAGTGTGGCGTTCTGGCTGGCCAAGTGCTGGTTGGAGCGCTCCAGCTCCTCCTGGACACTCCTGGTGTCCCTGCAGTGAGAGGAGGCTCATTAGCACCACTGAGGTGTGTTTTGAGAGCCCGATGATGCCGGTACCTACAAGGTCACGCTCTCTCTTTCGCCGCCATAGCCCTCAAGATCCAACGTGGCTGTGAGCACGCGAGGTCCTGGGAGAGTAGAGAGAGATGGGAATCTGCATCCATGGAGCCCCAGCAACAAAACCACAGTGCCACTGATGCTGTGAGTGTCTGTGAATCTGCCCCACCGCTCTGAATTGCTGACCCACACCTCCAATTGCTGCCCCATGTCTCATAGTTTCTGCCCCGCTACTCTCCTTTCCACCCCACACTGCGGCATTCTGGCTGGGCACAGGGGCGGCTCAAGTGCTTTGTGTGCGACTGCGTTTTCCACCAAAGCCCACACCCCGTGCACAGGAAAGAAGGAGGTGTTGCTCAGCTGGGGCTTTGAATTAGCAGTACTGCCAGCAGGCGCAGCATGGCTGGAACAGGCACTGATCTTTTTTCCGGTGTGGACACCTACCGGCTGTTACATCCAGCTCCTCAGCAGGCTGCGAGGCCCTGCGGAAAGAAAACCGTTGAGGCGTTGGTGGGAATCAGTGAGATGGGCACGTGGCACGGGGATTCTCTGCCACAATTCCCACCGGTGCTCCTGATCCAATCAGTGTCAGGGCACGGAGCCGTAATTCCAGTATTTGGCTCCTGAAAGGCCACTGTTGGGGCACAGAAATGCAATCCCATTATCTAGCTCCAGAAACGCCCCATGTTGGGCTGCAGAGCCCGAATTCCCACGTTGTGACAGGTGTTGCAGGCGCAGAGCTGAAATGCCCACATTTAGCTTGAAATGCCCAGTGTCAAGGCACAGAGCCAGAATTCCACTGTATGCTCCAGGCACACCCAGTGTCCAGGCATGGAGCTGTAATGTCGCCATTTGAAGCACTGCCCCCGCTCGCCTCTGTTTCCCCAAGCGCTCACCCGTCCTGCTGACAGTGGGCGATCCACTCACGCATGACAGCGCGGAAGGTGGGCAGATCCAGGGCTACCCCTGCTGCCGTCAGCTCCAGCATCTGCCTGAGCTCCTGCAGCTGCTGCTCCTCGCCGCTACGCCCCGTCACGGCCTGCAGGTACTCCACAATGCGCCAGGCTGGCACCGCGCCTGCCATCAGAGGCAAAGCTCACCACATGCCCTGCGTCTGTTGGGCAGCGCGCACATCCATCGGGCTGCCCGTGCATCAACCCATTGGGCTCCAGCCCCCCGCGTGTGTTCCCGCGGCGTCCCCCAGCTTCCGCGTGCCGTTCAGAAGGTGGAAACAGGCACCACGGAGGGAGAAGGAGGCCACGGGGTGGAATCAGGGTCCCGGCACCGCTACCTGTCTGCTCCACGTCACAGGCAGCGAAGGCGCAGTCCAGCAGGGACTCCTCCAACCAGCCACCCTCGGCCCCGGCTGTGGGAGGGCAACGGGAGAGGTTACGGGGCCCGACGTGGTGCTGCCTGGCACGGGCGCACCTTTGGGGCCATGCTGGGGCCACCTCGTTCTCTGGGGGGCCGCCTAACGCCCCTCTGGGCAGCAGGCAGTACGTACTTGCTGCACCGTCTCCGCTCTCCATGCTCTCACGGCACTGAGGGGACCCCAAGGCTTCTCCTCACAGCCCCGAGGGAACAGGAGCGAGCCCCGGCCACCTCCCGCCCTGTCGGGGAAGGGGCGTGCCTACTCGCAGCCCTACCAGGGCTTGGAGCCGGGCACCAGCACTGTGCTGAGCTTGTGAGGCCTCGGGCCTCTGGCCTGCTTGGGCAGAGCTTCTCCGCAGCACTGGGAGGCTTGGTGTCTCCTTTCTTTAATGGGAACAGCAGTCCCTCTACTGAGGAGGTGGCAAGCATGACTGGGAGTGATGGTGGACAGTCGGCTGAATATGAGCCAGCAGTGTGCTCAGGTGGCCAAGAAGGCCAACGGCATCCTGGCTTGTATCAGAAACACTGTGACCAGCAGGGCTAGGGAGGTGATCGTCCCCCTGGACTCGGCTCTGGTGAGGCTGCACCTCAAGTACTGTGTTCAGTTTTGGGCCCCTCGCTACAAGAAGGACATGGAGGTGCTTGAGCGGGTCCAAAGAAGGGCGACGAAGCTGGTGAGGGGCCTGGAGAACAAGTCCTACGAGGAGCGGCTGAGGGAGCTGGGCTTGTTCAGGCCTGGAGAAGAGGAGGCTCAGGGGCGACCTTATCGCTCTCTACAGGTACCTCAAAGGAGGCTGTAGTGAGGTGGGGGTTGGCCTGTTCTCCCACGTGCCTGGTGACAGGACGAGGGGGAATGGGCTAAAGTTGCGCCAGGGGAGGTTTAGGTTGGATGTTAGGAAAAACTTCTTTACCGAAAGGGTTGTGAGGTATTGGAACGGGCTGCCCAGGGAGGTGGTGGAGTCACCATCCCTGGAGGTCTTCAAAAGACGTTTAGATGGAGAGCTCAGCGATATGGTTTAGTGGAGGACTGGTTACTGTTAGGTCAGAGGTTGGACTGGGTGATCTTGAGGTCTCTTCCAACCTAGAAATTCTGTAATTCTGTGATTCTGTCATTTTGTGACTCTGCGGGCCCGGGCCCGGGCCCCCCGACCCCTCCCGCGCCCGCCGCTCTCCCCCCGTCCGCAGGGGGGCGCTGTGCCGCCGCCTCCTCTCTATGGTCGGCCCCTCCCTGCCGGGGCAGCTGAGAGGGGGCGGTGCTTGAGCGGCGCTGACCAATCCCGCCCGCGCCGCCTGCGTCGCGAAGCCTCCTATTGGCCCGCCCCGCCCTGCGCGGGGACCAATCCCCGCCGCCGTTGGTTTGTAAACCGGCGGCGCGCGGAGCGGGGCCCGCAGAGGGGGTCCCGGCAGGGCCGGGCGCAGGGCGCGGAGCCCCCATGGCGTCTCGCGGCCTCCCCGGCGGCGGCGAGAGCCGGGCCGCGGAGCCCCGCGGGACGCCCCCGTTCCAGACGGACCCGGCGGCGCTGGCCGCGATCCTCAGAGGCCCGGGAGCGGTACCGGGAGCCGTACCGGGAGCGCGGCCCAAGGCTGGGCCCGGCGGCGCCGGCAGGGCCTCTGTGGCCGGGCGCGTCCCGCTGCGCCTCGGCTCCCTCCGCACCCAAGGGAACGCCCCCGGTGCCGCTCCGCGCCCCGCTCCCCGCAGGCCTCGCGGCCCCTCCAGCGCCTCCTCGACCGCGCCTCCGGTTTCTCCCTTCGGGTTCCCGGGGCTCCCCCGCGCCCTCCCTGCCACCGCCGCCGCCCCGGGTCTCGGGCCCCGCGGTGAGGGCTCCCCAAAGGAGGCAGCCGGGGCCCGGTCCCGCAGGGGAGGGGAGAGAGGGGGAGGGTTTCTTTGATCATGTTCGCCCAGCGTGAGACAGGAAGGCAGGATGCTGATACGCTAGGTTAGCAACTTATCAGGAGATGGCTCAGCAATAAAAAGGTAAAAGAGGGGGGATAGTCCATACGGCGACGTCACACTCAGCAATAAAAGCTGTGGAAGGGGAGGGAAAAGGGGGGAGACAAAAGAGACACAGATTCCTTGGTTAAGACTCTTTATTTTTTTTTTGTTTCTTCCTTCTCCTTCTGCTGCAGAACCTCACTTCATCGTCGCTATCCTGCAGGAGATCACGTAGCTCTGGAGGCACGTTTGTCACTGGCTCGTCGTCTGAAACTTCTTCGACAAAATTAGAGGGGATAAATCCTCGTTTGCCATCCGTCAGCTCTCCCACGAACCAGCCGTCCTCATCCATGTCTCCAAGTACATAAACGTATTCTCCTGCAGTCAGGGGAAGCTCTGCTTCAGGGTGCTCGTTAGGACCCTCGAAAGGATTGTAGCTAAAGCGAGCTATAAATCTTCGAAGTTGTAGCAATCCTTGTCCCAGGGATGGGAGTTGGAAGGACACATGCTCTACTCCTGAGTCTCCGGTCTCACCCACAGGGCCCTCGTCTGAAAGAAGGCTGCAACCAGGACCGTTGTGTGAGGCATCCGATGTTGAGGTACTTGTGTGGGATGCCAACACTTGGGTTGCCTTCTCAGAAGCATCAGAGCAGTCTTCATGGTTGCAAAGGTCATGGGACTGCTCTGCAGAGGCCTGTGCTGTGGCAGGAGATGTCACCTGGAGCAGTTCTGAGGTGATCCGGTTGGATTTTTTTCTTTTTTCTTGCTCACGTTGCTGAGAGAGCAGCTCACATTGTTGACTTTGCTGCTGATACTGCTTCTCCAATTCTCTCAGCTGCGCCTGAGCCACTTGCACGTCTTCCTCACGTGTCCTTCTTTGCTCTGCCCAAGCCCTCTGGAAATGCTCGACTTCCTCTGCTTTGTTGTGCAGCAGTCGGTTTGTTTCCTCAAGGTCGTTCTCCTGTTGTTGTCTTCTTTCTGCCAGTTGCCGCATGGCATTCAGTTCACAACCCAGATCCTTCAGTTGTGTTTGAAGACGTTTGACCTCTCCAATGGCAGAATTTCGCTGCTCTGTCACTTGCACAAGTTTTGCCTTCAGAGCAGCGTTTTCAGATTGGACCTCCTCTATCCAATCCTTGTGCCCGCGGAGCTGAGAATTTTCTTCTGCGCATCTGGCATTTTCATTTGTCATCTCTGCTAGACGCACTTTCAGGTCCTCGTACCTTTTCCGCAGTCTTGAGCGTTCCTGCTCCAGGTTCATGTGAGGCCTAAGTGTTTTCCCAGCCTCGCTTTCCAATTGCCCTCTCTGCTGCTGGTTGACCTGCTCTGTCTTTGCAACCTCTTTCAGTTGCCTGGCTTTTTCTTGCAGACGCTTGGTAAGGAGGCCTAGCGTACAGGTGTTCTTCTGGAGCCACTCCACCTCCTCCGTCTCTTCCAGAGAGCTTTTCTTTATCAGGCAGCGGGTCTCCTGCTGAAGGGCACTGCATTGTCTCCGCAGGTCCTCCACAGCATGCTGCAGCTGAACTTTCAGCTCCAGCAGCTGGCTGTCTCCGCTGCCAGGTGGACAGGCCTCTTCTTGCGCTGCGACCTGAACACCCACGTCTGCGACAGAGCGCCTGCTGCTCTTCCCATCTCCCTGGAGGTGAGCGTCTTTGAAGCTAGAGGGGGTTGTCTGCTGCCCTCCTCCACCAGCAGCACCAGATGCACCGGGGCACTTTGAAATGCAGGGCCCGGTGGCTCCTATGCCCAGGAGGGTCTGCAGGCGGTGCCAGGCCTTGTCCCCTTTGTGGGAGGCAGGCGACCCGCCCTTACCCTGCTCCAGGATGTACTGCAGGAAGAGTCTCCTCTGCTGTTGCAGTTCATTTTGGAGGCTCAGGATCTGGGCGGCCTGCTTGCTATCTGCCCGCCCGCTAAGCTGCCTGTGGACCTCCTGCAGCTTGCCGCGGACCTCGTTGGTTCTTCTCCAGCCTCTCCTCACCAGCTCCTCAGCCAGCTGCCGCTGCAGCTCCCGTGCCTGGCGGATGGAATTGTCCCGCTGCTGCTGGAGCAGCTCGTGCGCCTGGCACCGCTCGGCGTCCTTCTCGCGCAGCAGTTGACGGATCTCCGCTGCCCGCTGCCTCTGGCTCTGCTCCTTGAGCCGCTGCTGCTCCCGCACCCGCTCCTGCTCCCATTTGGAGCGCAGCTTCTCAGCCAGGAGCTGCCGCTCCTGCTCTGCCCTCTTCTTCATCTCATGGGCTTCATCAGCAAAGCGGCGCTTCAGCTCCTGGGTCTGGAGACGCTCGGCCTCCAGCTGGGCCCGCAGTTCCTCCAGCTCCTGCCCGTGCTCCTTCTGCTGCACAAGGCCGCTGGGGCGTCGCGCTGGGCCCCGACGCGATGAGTGACCGGACACCACTGGGCTCCTGGCCAACACCACCGCGGGTCATGGTTTCAATAACCACGAATAATAACCACAAATAATAACCAGAAAAAAACACGAATCAGGTGAACGGTCACCAAACGCTGCCAGCAATAGCCACCAGCAATCGCACGGCCTGGGCCTGAGAGGGACAGCAGGCTCTGAGCCCTCAGCAAACACCAGCACCGCACAGCAGCAGAGGCAAACTGCAAATTGTGCGGCACAAGCGCGGCCTTATATACTGTGCCTGATTGTGACGTCATAAAGGAGGGATGACGTCATATGCCCTTATATGGCATGTGCTGGCCCCGGATACACCCCGAGAGCCTCAGCAGAAGGGGTGACCTCCATCTTGCCAATTTATTCCTAAAAAAAATGCATTTCCAGTGCACATCCTTTCACCTTACTCTGTTTAACGTGAAAAAAGCAGCCATCCATTTTTTTTATTATTTATAAATTATTACCCCTTTCTCAAAAGCATCCTCTCCCGTGTTGCCCCACATGATGATGTCTTCAACGTACATCCACGAGTCCTGAGGGGACCGCTGACTTGCTAAGCCACTGTCCCTCGTACCTGAGAAGTTGTGGAAGTGCGTTTAAGGAGTTCCCACTGACTGCAGGAGGGAAAATATAGCCCCCATTTTTAAAAAGGGAAAAAGGAAGGCCCGGGAGCTACAAGCCTTCCTCCCTTTGTGGGGGTGCAGAGCCTTTATCACCCTCAGGTGCGAGGAAGAGCTGAGTCAGGGCTGGGTTGGGTGGGCAGGGCCACTCTGGAAGGTTCTGTGCTGGGGGGGGAACAACACAGAGCTAAGGGGACACATGGGGTTGGGGACACCTGGAGCACACAGTCAGGGAGAACTGTACTGTATCCAGTGCTGAGGACTGAATCCAGTTCATGAGTTCTGGGTCCAGCTCTGGGCTCCCCAGTACAAAACAGACCGGGATCTCCTGGAAAGGGTCCAGCGGAGACCACGAAGGTGATACGGGGCCTGGAGCATCTCCCCTGGGAGGAGAGGCTGAGACCTGGGGCTGTTCGGCCTTGGGAAGAGAAGACTGAGGGGGGGTCTCCTCAATGTGTGTAAATACCTGAGGGGTGGGGGACAGAGGGATTTGGCCAAGCTCTTTTCAGAGGTCTGTGGGGACAGGACAAGAGGCAACGGCCACAAAATGGAGCCCAGGCAGTTCCGCACCAACAGGCGAAAGAAATTCTTCACAGAGAGGGTGCCGGAGCGCTGGGACAGGCTGCCCAGGGAGGCTGGGGGGGCTCCTTCTCTGGAGATCTTCAAGGCCCGTCTGGAGGCCTCCCTGGGCAGCCTGCTGGAGGGAACTGCTTGGGCAGGGGGGGGTTGGTCCCGAGGAGCTCTCGAGGTCCCTTCCAACCCCTACAACTCTGTGATTCTGCAAACTGTGGGGGAGATGTGGGGGGAGCAGCTTGGGGTGGGGGACATGGGGCTGCACATTGGGGGGCACATGTGAGTGACAATGGGGGTCTGGCGGGCACACAGGAGTTGAACTGGTGAGGGGAAAGGGGGTCATATAGGAGTGGGGGTGTTATAAATGGCTCAGTCTTCAAAATAGGGCTATAATCAAAGTTTACAATTTATTAAAGGAATAGAGCTAAGCAAACAGCGCTGGGTGCGCCAGGAGTCTCCGCTCCACCAGGACGCACACCAGTTACATCCAGGAGCTGATTTTTATGCTCCTAGGCTAATCCATATTCATTACTACTTCTAAAAAAACGGGTTATTATAATTAACTTCTGGGATCCGTACAAACACAAATAGCTCTCTTATTGACACTTCACGAGTCGTTAAAACATTCCTCACAGGCCATTCCCAGGGACAGTCACACCTAGAGCAGTGCTAAATCAACCACAAAGAAGACAAAAACGGCTATAACTGTTAGAAAGAAGAGTTCGGAATAACACAAGCAAATAGGCTGATGGATTTGAGGAATATTTCTGAAGATTTGATCATTTGACTAGAATGAGGGGGAGACTGGGACACTGGGAGGAAAGGGAAGAAACTACATCTGTGGGAGAATTAAATTGCCAGTGCAGGACCCAGAGACAGACAGAACTGCTCTCTAGTGACACGAATTGTTAAAATATTCCTTTGCAAGGTACAAGAACTATATACATGAACCATTCTGTTTTTCTTAGCCTTGTGCTTATACAAGGGTATGTAAGACAGAAGGTCACATTCATCATACCACGCGGCCCTAGCACTGTTCCATGCTGACACGAATCAGATGAACATCTATCCCAGGGGCACACACGAGTGAAAATGGAGGACTTGTCCTCCTCCCTGGTAAAGGGGAACAAAGCTCCTCCCATGGCCTTCCTCCCTCTGTGGGGGTGCAGGGCCTTCACCACCCGAGAAGTTGTTGCTAAGGGCCATAGGAAATCAGGAGGTGGATGGTGACAGACGACATGGCTTCACTCGGGGCAGATCGTGCCTGACAAATCTGGTGGCCTTAAGAGCAACGGACATCATCTTCATGGACTTGTGCAAAGCACTTGCACTGTCCCCCATGATCCCTGTGCCAGCCACGTCCCATTGTCCCCCATGGTCTCAGTGCCAGCCGTGTCCCAGTGGGCAGCAGTGGCCATGTCACCACGGTGTCACCATGGTGTGTCATTGTGACACGGCGGCCTCCAAGGGGAGGGCTGCTTGGTGAGGTTATCTGCTGCGTCTGGGTTGTGGGAGTGCTTCTGACAAGCCATCCCGTGTCTGCCACGCAGAGTGAGGCCGCCAAACTGGGAGAAGAGGGTGAGGGCAGAGTCACCTCCCCGGAGCCCGCACAGCCCGCAGGTGGGCAAGGGGGTGAACAGGGCTGTGTGTGAGGCTGCAAGCGGTGAGGGGTGGGCAGGAGCCCCCCCAGCTGTCTTGGGGCCACGAGGGAGGGCCGTGTGGGGCAGCTGAGGCTGGCAGGGGGGCAAAGGAAAGGGGTCCCAGGGGCTGTGGGCACTGGTAACATCACAGGGTGGGATGCTGACACTGGAGGTGGCCTCAGGGAGGCCCACGGGTCGAGCAGCCCTGTGCACGCTGTGCAGGTGCAGGGTCCGGGGTTCGTGAAGGGGTCTTGGAGCACGTGTAGGCCCGCAATTAAGAGATGCAGGACTCGAAGGATAGGGAGCTGCTGGCGCTGCAGGCTGAGCCCGTGGCCATGCTCCTCACGCTGTGCTGGCTTGTGACGTGCAGGTGAAGAAGCCATGGAGGCAGAGGGTGCGAAGGGGTCTCTGCACCGCAGCCAGAACATGGCAGAGGCGTTGGCCCAGGTCGCTCAGGCAAGGGCCGATCTGGAAACAGCGCTGGAGGAGTTCTTCAAGGTCTGTAACCCAAAGGCAGAAATCCAACAGGGGCACGGCAGAGCTGCTGGGGAGTGCTGCGAGCCCCTGAATGCCTTAGCGCTTGCCACCCTGGTTCTGGCCTGGCCTTGCAGAGCCCTGGGGATAGGCTGGGGATGCCCTTTCCCACCCTGACTCCATGCCATGTGTCCCGGTTGCTTTGCAGTGCAAACGGAGGCGTGAAGAGCTGGAAAAGACTGTTGCTGAAAGCGCCAGGATCAACAAGGTGCTGAGGGCAGGAGGGAGGGGAGACATCAACATGTTTGTGTGGGGGGGAAGCCCCCTCCAAGCAGGGTGTAGGGTGGACTCACAACCTGGTCCTTTGTTTCTCCAGGCGCTGAGGGAGGAGATTAAGCACCTCCAGGAGAGAAAGGAGGTTGTTGAAAAACAAACTGCCACGTGAGTATGGACAGGGCCCTGACCCCAACCAGGGGTAGACAGTGGGGAGGATCTGCACAACATCCAGGCACCTGTGTCACAGTTTGGGGGCTCCTTTCAGCTCCTCACACCTGCTTTGGAGAGCCTTTTGCCTTCTCCTAAGCAGCTCCAAGCATCTCTGAGCAACTCTTGACTCCTTTTAGCAATGCTGCATGACTGTGAGCAGCTCCCAGCCTCTTGTCAGAGCCCCCCCACCCCCAAGGCCTGGGGCAGGGAGGAGGCAGAGGATGCAGGGGGGGAGTTTGGGTTTGCGGTGCTGGGACAATGAGATGCCTCGTCCCTGCTCCAGCAGAGGCTGGGCGGCACCCTGAGCCCCTCCTGGCCACCTCAGTCAAGGGGGAAGTCCTAATGCTGGCTGAAGTCTCTTCTCGCAGCCCAGAAACTCTGTGGTGTCTGTAACAGGGGGAAGAGGATGCAGGCGGCCAAGCTGCCCAAGACTTGGATGCAGGAGATCGTGGCTGCAGAGCTGGTAGGAGAGATACCACTGCTGTGGGGCTGGGGGGGACGGTCTGGACTCGGCCCCAGAGGACATGGGGCCATTCATCTCAGTGGGAACGAGGGAGGGGGTCTGAGTGCCCCCAGTGCCTTCCCAGTTTTGCGTGCCCCAACACGTGGCCCTGCTTTGCCTTGTCCTGTAGGATGAACAGTTGGCATCAAGGAGGCACAGAATCACTACTTGGCTGCGGTGAGTTGCTCTTGGAGGTTGTGGCTCCCAAGGCATTAGGCAGCTTTTGACTTCTCCAAGATGAACTGCTTCAGCATTTCTTTGTTTCCTGGGTTGGGGAAGCAGGTGGGGTGTGGATTTCAGCCTCCCCTGGCCCGCAAAGTACCACAGAGCCAAGAGGGATAGGCAGGTTCCTCACCCCACTCCTGAGCAGCATCTGTTGCTCCCAGCACGGCACAGGGTCCCATGGCAGGGCTTAAAGAGGATGATTGGAAAGAGCTGGGACAAATTTATCACTGGCTCTGTCTGAACCTTCTGTTCTGCAGGAGATCTCTGCTGTCCTTTGCCGGCCTGCAGCTCGCCTTCTTCATCCTGGTCCTGCTGAAGAGGGACATCCTCCACTGGGTCCTTCCTCCAGGGCTGGCATCTGCCCTTGGAAGCCATCCACCACGACCCTTTCTCTTCTAACCCTACCAATAAACTGCAGCCCTTTATCAATAACCCTACCAATAATCCGCGGTCTTTTATTAGTGGGGAAGGGAAGGGCAGACATTCTGCATGGCCAGTGCTGACTGCATGATGCTGCCGAGCAGTTGGTGGCCTGCTGGGTGTTTGATGCACCCCACAGTGAGCAATATCAGACAACAACAAGAATCCCAGCTCAGAAATCTGTGCTTCTCCCTGTGCTGCAAAAGGAATCGTGCACTTCCCTCGTAAGAGAGAAGCAGCAATATATTTATTGCTGAAAACAGTGATGGAGCAAAGCCAAATATGCCGGCTGAATGTCTGCTTGGCAGCTTACCAGTGTGTGGGGGCATCAAACAGACCTCAGTGTGACCACAGCTACGGGGGCAGTGACCCACCCCTGGGTGCTAACTGGGGGGTGGGAAGGGCCCCTCCACAGCCCCGTTCTGTGCAGGGGAGCACGGCCAGGTACACACAAACAGGGACAGCTTCTTGCAGGCAGAGGGAGAGATTCCCAGGGGACCACGACGCTGGGGGGGTGGATGCAGATGCTCAGGGAGGTGCTCCAGGGTGCTCTCACTTTTGCAGCCGCTTGATGCGGGCTTCTGTATCAGCAAAGTTGTCCTCTACAATGGCCAGATTTTCCTTCATCGTCTTCTGGACCTGCAGGGGGGTCAGTGGGGAAGGGGGTCACTCTGGGGATTGTCCTTGCCTCCCCAATGCCTCCCCAATGCCTCCTTAACCAACCCCCCTCATTTTGAAAAGACTCAAAGACTTGCAAAGTCTTTGCAAAGACTCATGGCAAGATGCAGGTGGGAAAGAGCCTGACGGGGGGCTCACGCCCCAGCCCAGCACTGTGGCTCCCTTCGTGCGGCTCTCCCCTCCCCATGCTTGGGATACGGGGGAACGGGCTCACTCTCAGACCCCCTTCTGCATCTGTCACCTCTCTGAGCAGGCTCTGTGCTGGCGTGGGGCCTTGGTGAGGTGTTCCCATCGCATCCCAGTGCTCCTGAGCATGAGACAATCTGCAAGCAGCAGCCGCAGGGCTCGGTGTCTCTGTCATGCTCAGCCCTGCTCCAAGCTCTCTGCTCGTGTGATCTGTGGAAGAATTCTACAGCTCAAAGCAAATGAGATAGAAAATCGATTTGTGGTTTATTTCGGCGCTGGGATAGCTCCCAAAGGCGCGCGCACCCCAACGTGGCACCTCGCCTTCGCTATGTGCAGCACAAGGGTTACGTATGCGTGAAGTTTCCCAGTCCGCCTGCACATTTGCATAATCAGTCCCCGCTTTGTATTAAAATGAGCTCCCAGGACTCATTTGCATAAACGCCTCCTAATTGCCTGCACGGTGCCCGCTGCTGGGGGCCGTGGGGATGAAGGCTGGTGACTCCTCATCGTCACCCCCTGCCTTTGTACAGACTCAGCTGCTCCTTGGCTCTTCCCAACCCACTCACTCGGTCTTTTCAGCCAGGTTTGGGTTTTTTTTGTTGTTTTTTGAGGCAGATTCCCCATTTTTGCCAGGAAACACCCTCTGCGAGGGGCCCCGAGGCTCCTCATTTGCACGGTACTAAGCAAAGACACTCAGCAACATCCATTTTAACGCGATGAAGAGTTCTGCCCTTCCCGACTTCCCTAATAATGATTATTTTATTTATTTTATTTATAAATCCTTAACGCAATTAAGCGAACCCCAGGCCCAACAGGCCCCTCAGAGGCGGGGCAGCGCCTCTGCGCATGCGCACGGCCTCGCCGCGGGCCCTTTAAGGCGGGGCGGGGCAGAGCGCGCCCTGTTTCCAGCCCTTGCATCACCCCCCCACGTGACCCACCGCGGGGCGCGTGACGGCCAGGCGGGGGGGGCCGCGCGCCCCCTCCCTCCCTCTCCCATTGGCTCGCTCTTCCCGCCCCTCCGGCCGCCGCGGGCGCCCATTGGACGCGGCTGACGCAAGCCTTGCGTCATGCGAGGGTTTAAAAGGAGCGGCGGCGGCGGGCGGCGGCACTGCGGGAGCGGGGAAGATGCGGATGAGGATGGGCCGGGGGCAGCGCGCGGGACGGAGCCGTGGGGAGCCGGGGCCGCGCAGGAAGGTGCGGGGGGACCCCGCGGGGCTGCCCGGTTCTGTTCGGTGTGGTTCGGTCCCGAGGGGTCCGGTCCTGAGGCACCGGCGGCTGCGGGGGGCCGGGGGCCGGGGCCTAGGCCTTGCCCCCGGGGTGTGAGGCGGGAGGGAGGCCCGGCTGTGGTACTGTGGGGGGGGAGGGGGGGCGTGGCCTCCGTGTGCAGCCCCGGGGAGCTGGGGGTGGGCTGGGGGCTCCGGGATTGTCCCCAGAGCCGTGGGAGGGGGGCACAGCGCGGGGGGCACAGCGCGTCTGATCCCGCTCCTCTCGCTCCTCAGGCATCACGGAGAAAGTGCATCCTGGTGGATCACCACACCTGAGAGCAGGTAAATGGGAGCCTCGCCCTGTACACAGGGGGTGGGGGAGCAGCCCTGCCCCAGGGAGCGGTGTTGTGGTGTTGGGGGTCCTGACTGCACTTATCCCCCTCTCCCCGCAGCCCCAGGCTGGCCTGCAGGTGACGATGGCAGCTGAGGGGCTGCCTGTGGCAGGGCCCGCTGGTGGCCTGCCTGGCTGGGAACTTGAGGCCTGGTACCAGGACCTGCAGGAGGTGCTGGCAGCAGCGGAGCCCACGGGCCTCCCAGCACCCTGGGGGGCTGAACAGGTGAGCGGAGGGGCTGGGGATGCTCTGCGGGGAGAGGTGGGCCAGGGGGTGTCTGTCATCTGGGACTGGCTGCTTTTTTTCCCTGTAGGAGGGGCCATCAGAGACAGCCCCGCTGTGGGGCCCGGAGGGGAGTGGCAGCGTTCCAGAGAGTTGTGAGCTGGATGCTGCCCTGACTGCAGAGCTGCAGGAGCTGCTGGGACCACACAGCGTAGCAGGCACGGAGGCAGTGCAGCCACCGGACCCTGCTCTCTGCAGGAGCTCCCCCACCCCCGTGGGCACTGAGGACGAACAGGCGGGGCACAAGGCGAAGAGGAAGAGGGGCAGTGGTGTGACAGCAAACAAGGCGCTGGCCAAGAACCGGGAGCAGAGCAACGAGCAGCGGGTGCTGGAGCTGACAGCCCGCAATGAGCAGCTCCGGGAGGAGATTCGGCGGCTCAGTGCTGAGGTGGAGAACACCCGGAGAGCGCTCATCAACCGCATCGTGAACCTCCGCCAGACCTAGATGCTGACACGGCCTTGTAGGCACCGGGCCCAGGACTCTGCTGTCCCCGATGGACTTGGGGGGCAGCCATGAACTGGAAGGGCGCTGCCCAACTGGCACAGACTGATGCCATGGGGAAGGCATAGCTTCCAGACACTGTACAGTTCTTGCATTTTATTACACGCATGTAACCATCAGCACAGTTCAGTCTGGTCTCTTTGTAGCTCCAGGGCTGCAGCTGTCCCGCGGTACAGGGAAGCCAGGTGCTATTTCTTCCGTTTCCCCTTCGGTACAAGGACTTCGGGACTTTTGCCCTCTGCTAGTGCCAGCTGTTTCTTCAGTTCCAGCAGTTTGGCCACCTCAGCGTCAATCTCTGCCTTCTCTGCCTTGTTGGCCTTCAGCTGCCGCACGTGGTTGCCCTGGGGAAGGTCCGGGGTGAGGGCTGAGGCCAAGGAGAGGGGAAAAGGGTTGAGATGGGGCAGTTTCTATGCACTCACCTGCTTGGCTACCTGTTCTGTCAGCTCCTGGATCAGCTGGGGGTCACCTGGAGCCACAACAGGCCCAGAGGCTGGAGCTGGAACAGGGGCTGAGGCTGGAGGGGTTGGCTTAGCCTGTGGAAGGACAGAAAGGGGTGGTGTAGGGTCCAGAAGCAGAGCTATGCATCCATGCACCCCCTGCATGCTGGGGAGGGGTCACAGCAGCAGCAGGGAGTTACCTGACGTACTACAGTGAGGTCTTCAGGCTGGGAAAGGAGAGACAGTGAGGAAAGAAGCAGGAGAGATGGAGCAAAGAGGAGCTGCCCAAGTCAGAGGAGCGTTACAGCCCCCACTCACCTGCCCTCCCCCAAATCGCTTGCGGAGGGCTTCAATCTGGTCGTTCTCCAGCTTCTGGAAAAGGGGACTCACCTGGAAGCGGGGAAAAAGAGGGTTTAGCCCTGCAGGGCTCTGGTTAACCCCCCCCCACCCCACTCATCCCCTGCCCAAGGAGCGCAGCCGGCCGCCTACCGTGCCCACACGGTGCCCAGGGGGCAAGGTGCAGGTGAAGATGTGGCTGAGGACAAAGCACTCCGGGGGGATGCAGAGCTGCCCCTGGATGGCCAGGCTGACGCTGGGCATGTAGGGCTGCACCATGACGGCCAGCAGCGAGGCCATGTTCACTGCCACGCCGGTCACGGTGCCTGCGCGCTGCCTGCCAGGCAGAAACCCCTCTGTCAGCACTAATTCCTGGGCCCTGGCACTCCCCCCCTGCTCCTAACCTCTTCCTACCTGTCTTCCTCGTTGCCCTTAATCCTCTTCCAGGGCTCGTTCACCTGGATGTACTGATTGCCGTGGCGGGAGATGCTGAGGATGCAGCGCAGGGCATCGCGAATTCTGGGGGGGGGGAGGGCAGAGAGGGGTTGAGTCCCTGCTCAGATTTCACCCCCGCCTCCCTGAACTGCCCAGCCCCGGGATCTCAGCCACGCACCGGACTTTCTCCAGCAGCTGGTGGTACTGGCGCAGCTCCAGGGTGACCCGAGCCAGCAGCCTCTTGTCATCCGCTGTCAGGACCATGTCGGGGACAACGCCACCGAAGAACTTGCAGACAAACATTCCAGCTCTGGGGACGGAGGGGCAGGCGTGAGCAGAGGCTGGAGGCAGAGGTGCTCCGCCCTCCCCGCCGTGCCTCACCTGTTGATGAAGTTTCCCAGGTTGTTCAGCAGCTCTGAGTTGTTCTTGAGCATGAGGTCGCTCCAGGAGAAGGCGCTGTCCTGCCCCTCGGGCCGCAGGTACAGCAGGTAGAAGCGCCAGATGTCAGCCGGGATGCCCGTGTCCTTGGCCATGTCCCCGAACACCCCCACGCCTCTGCTCTTGGAGAATTTCCCATCCTCGTAGTTCAGGTACTCTGGGGGAGGGCAGAGACACCACCGTGGGACCCAGGCAGGGAACGGTCCCACAACACAGAGGGCACAGCCATGTAGGCATAGCCCCACGCTCTGCTCACGGGGGTTTTCCAAATCAAAGTAGGGAAATGTTTTTGTTTTGTGCCTGCGTGGGGCTGACGGGACTGCTCCCAGGACTGAGGGAACGCAGAGACCCCCCCAAATCCCCGGAGAGCCCCTCAGTACCTGTAGCAATGAGGTGGTTCACCAGGGTGTAGTTGTCATCAGCGCCCAGGAGCGAGCAGGGAAAGATGACGCTGTGGAAGGGGACGTTGTCCTTGGCCATGAAGTTGTACAGCTCAACCTGTGAAGCAGGGGGGGACGTGAGCAGACCCCAGCAGCCCAGCTCTGCCCCGATCCTAACCCTGCACCTGCCCCGGCTCTTACCTGCTGGGGGTTCTTCCACCACCTCTCCCACTGGTCCGTGTAGTTGGCCGTGATGGACAAGTAGCCGATGGGAGCATCAAACCACACGTAGAACACCTGGGGGAGAAGCAATATCTGAGCAAGGAACACCCAGGCTGGCCACCGGAGGACACCCTGTGGCTGGGGAGCCCCCCACCTTGTCACGGAAGCCATCGAGAGGCACGGGCGTGCCCCACTTCAGGTCACGGGTGATGCAGCGGGGCTTGAGCCCATCCCGGATCCAGGAGCGAGTGATGTAGCGAGCGTTGGCTGTCCAGTCCCCGCTGCTCCAGGAGTGCTCCAGCCACGGTTCCAGCTGCTCCTCCAGCTGTTGGCAGCACACCGGGATGGGAAGTGGTGCCGGGGGGGGGTCCTGTCCCCTCCCCAGCCCCCCAGGGTGGGAAGCTTACCTTGGGAAGGTCTAGGAAGAGGTGCTGGGTGGGCTTTACCACAGGGACACCCCTGCAAAGCTTGCACTGGGGCCTCTGTTGAGAAGAAAAACAGAAAAACACAGCTTGGATAGAGCCCAGGACACGGTTGGGGTCCCAGGCAAAGCAACGGGCCTCCCAGAGGGATCCCATCCCACCTTCAGTTCCACGGCGTTGATGAGTTTGCCACATTTATCACACTGGTCCCCCCGCGCCTCCTCGTAGCCGCAGAAGGGGCAGATGCCTTCCACAAAGCGGTCAGCCAGGAAGCGCTGGCAGCCCTCGCACTGCAGCTGCTCCACGGTGTCTTGCAGCAGGAAGCCACGGGCCAGCAGGCGCTGAAAGATGTCCTGGGCAATCCTACAAAAGCCCAGAAAAAGGAACAAGAGCAGTCACAAATCAGCCAGAAGACACACGAGAGCCCTAGGACACCCTCAGCCAGGCTCCCTGGGGTTTCCCCAACATCCACAGCACCAAAACCACCCCCCCACAAAGCCCTGGGCCACGCAGCAGCTCACGTGGTCTGGTGAGGCGTGGTGGTGCGGCCGAAGTAGTCAAAGGAGATGTGGAACCAGCGGTAGATGTCAGCGTGGATGGCGTTGTACTTGTCACAGATCTCCCGAGGAGTCAGCCCCTCTTCCACCGCCTTGGTCTCCGTGGCCGTGCCGTACTCGTCCGTGCCGCACACGTACAGCGTGTTCCAGTTCCGCAGGCGACAGTACCTGCGGGCAGAGGGTTTTGACACCTGGTCTTACAGAGAACAGGTCATCTGCATCATCCACTCCACCTCACAAGGAAGCTGTAGACCACGACGTGGTCCCCCCTCTCAGCCTCCTCTTCTCCAGGCTGAACAGGCCCAGTGCCCTCAGCTGCTCCTCATACCTCTTCCCCTCTAGGCCCTTCACCATTTCTGTCGCCCTCCTCTGGAACTCTCCAACAGTTTCACGTCCTTCTTGTACCGTGGTGCCCAGAACTCACCTAGCGAAGGTGTCAGCGCTGAGAACGCAGCCGATGATATTCCCGAGGTGAGGCACGTTGTTGACGTAGGGCAGGGCGCTGGTGATCAGGACATTCCTCATGCCCTCCACAGGCAACCTGGCACGGGCAGGAGCAATTATTGCAAACACAAAGGGCAACGAGGCCAGCTCACCTCGCAGCAACACGGCATCACCCTTCCAGCTCGCCCAGACGTCCGCAACAGCCCAAACCTTGCGTCAGTTTGGGACTCACACAGGTTTCTGTGGACACCAGGGCTTGGGCAGTGCTGCAGCACCACGGGCCCAGGCGTCTGCAGCAGCTCTGATTTCCTCCTCCGTCAGGGCCCGCTCGGAAGCTTCCTCCTCCTGTGGGGAAAACAGCGAGGGGTCAGCGGGTCCCAGCGGGGGGCTGCGTGATTATTGCCATCAGCCCGAGGGGAAACCTGTTCCTGTGCTGTGGCTGAGCGAGGAGGGCAGGGTTGTACCTCAGGCTCGTTGCTGGTGGCTCTCTCCACGGCCAGGCAAGGTGGGGGCTGCTTCTGCAGGTAGGACTTGAACTCCAGGAGCCCCTTGGGCATCAGCACGGAGTCAGCAGCTTTCCTGCAGGCCTCCGAGAGCGTCATGGTCTGGAACCAGGTTCTCAGCGCTTGCAGCTCGTCTTGGGGAGGAGACAGTAGGCGGTTCTTATAGTTGTGGGGACACAGGAAATATCCCCCTCCTGACACACTGATTTCCCTCTTACTTGACAGGCTGGCCTCATCCTGGAGCACAGGGAACAGGGCTCCCCACACAACCACGTCAGCCACCGACTGCGTATCCTGGGCCAGAAAAGCAGCGTCAAGCCTTGAGACAGCCCCAGCCCAGGCACTGGGCTCTGCCTCAGGGAACACAGGAGGGCACACAGCTCCCCGGGGAAAGGGCTGCCCTCCGAATCCCCCCATCAAGAGCAGGTTTCCCCCATGCTGGGGTCCCACTTACCCCAGCAAGGTAGGCAGTGCCTCTCCCGGACAAACTCTGCTCGATGTAAGCCAGCAGCTTTCCCAGGTGCCCCGCCGCCTCCAGCCCCTTCTTGCCATGCACCAGCTGCGCGTACAGGGCCGCCGCCACCACCGGCTGGAAGGAGCAGAGGGCGGAACGGGACAAGGGGGGGGTCAGGCAGGCGAGGCCACGAGCCCGACCCCACCACAGCGCCCCAGCCACCCACCTGCAGCTCCGTGGCCTCCCATTCCAGCCACTGGTTGGTGAGGTCGGTCGGCTCCTGCCCGCCGGCCAGGAACAAATACCTGCAGGAGGGGGTGAGGAGGGCAGGGGCAGCGCTGCGGCTCCGTCCCCGGTCCCCTCTCGGTGCCCCGCAGCCCCCCCGGTACTCACTGGCAGATGGCGTTGGGGGAGAAGAGGACGGCGCCGCTGTCCAGCTGCAGGGCGGGCACCCACGGCGAGCACAGCGGCGACAGGGGCTGCTCTGAGGGGGGGGGGGGGCAGGCCGTGAGGCGTGGGGGGGGGGGGCACGGGGGAGGCCTCCCGGTGCCCCGGGTCCCCCCCTCCCGGTGCTGCCGGTCCCCCCCCCCCAACCCTCCCAGCAAAGGCCTGACCTGCCGGGGGGGTCCAACACAACCGCACCGGGGCGGCGGCGAACTCGGCGGCCGCCACCACCTTCAGCGCCGCGGGGCCGCCCGCCGCCACCTGCAGCCGCATCGCCGCTGATGCAACCGGGGCGGGAGGGCGACGGCTTCCGGGACCGGGCGTCCGGTTAGGCCCGGAACTACAACTCCCATAATGCTCCGCGCGGGGAGCTTCCGACATAGGGAGCCCCCATTTAGTAGAACTACAACTCCCATAATGCTCCGCGCGGGCTCGCCCAACCTCTCGCGAGATCCTCCTCGCGGCGCAGCCCGCCGGCCGGCGTTGCCATGGCAACCGAGCGCGGCCGCTGCGGTTCCGCCGCCGTCGGGGCAGGGGGCGGTGACGTCACGGAGAAGCGCTGCGGCCGCCCCCCCCCCCCCCACTCCTCCCACGGGGCAGCCGCCAGCACCGGGCGCGTTCCCGGGAGCGAGTTCCCGGGACCTCGGACCGAGAACGTCCCGCGGGCGTCAGAGTGCCCCGTCCCGTTCCGTTCCGTCCGGTCCCGTTCGGACCCGTCTGGATCCGTCCAGCCCGGTCCCGTCTGGTCCCGTCCGTCCAGCCTCGTCCCGTCCCGTTCCGTCCCGTCCCGTCCCGTCCAGCCCCGTTTGGTCCCGTCCCGTCCCGTCTGGTCCCGTCAAGCCCGGTCCCGTCCGGTCCCGTCCCGTTTGGTTCCGTTTGGTTCCGTACAGTCTCGTCCTGTCCCGTCTGGTCGCGTCCCGTCCAGCCCCACCGGGTCCCGTCTGGTCCCGTCCAGCCTTGTCCGGTCCCATCCAGCCTCGTCCAGTCCCGTCCTGTCCCCTCCAGCCCCGTCCCGTCCGGTCCCGTCCTGTCCGGTCCTGTTCCGCTCCGTCCAGCCCCGTCCGGTCCCGTCCCGTCGCGCCCCGCCTCTCAGCACGCCCCGTGTCACCGCCGCCCCCCCCCCGGCAGGTGCATGTCCCGGGGGGAGGCACCGGGGGTGCCATCGGGGGGGCCGCACCGGGGGCTCCGTGCAAACACAGCCCGGCTTCACCCCACCCGGTCCCGGTCCCGGTCCCGGTCCCGGTGCCGCTCCCCGGGCCGCCACCGTGCAGCAGCAACCGGCGGACGGGGGGGGGAGCGAAGGGAAGCGGGGGCGGGCGGCGGGGATCGGGCTGGGGTCCTCCCCCGGAACAGGGCCGGGGCGGTGCGAGCACCCCGGGGCTGGTTGCCACCGGGGCTCGGCCCCACTGGTGTCGCCCCCTCTGCTTAACGGGTGGGCCGAGCCGAAAGGCTTTTGGGGTCGAGCGGGGCTTGGGGGGGCGGGTGGGGGGACGCCCGGTTCCTCTGCCCGTGCCCCACGTCCGTCCCCGGCACCCCCGTGACCCAGCGTCGGGTTCTGCCCGCTGGCTCCATGGCAGAACCCCAAAGATGGTGAGTGGGACCCCAATAGGGCCGGGAGCTGCTGAGCTGTGGGGCTGGGGGTCCGGAAGCACAGTTTTGGGGTTGGGGGGTCTTTGGGATGGGGAGCGGGGAACTGGGAAAGCGGCGGGGCCGTGGGTGAGGAGCGGGGACCGTGACACCGCGGGGCTGTGGGATGAGGAGCGGGGGACGCGGGGAGTTTTGGGGCCATGGGACCGTGGGAGATGGGCGCTGGAGAACCTGGGGCCGAGACCACCCCGGGAAGTGCCCCCCAACCCCATAGCGTGTGGTGCGAGGAAGCCGCAGCCTCGCTGCTTCCTGCTGCAGAAACTGCTGCGTTTCCGTCAGGTCCCCGAGCGCCAGCCAACCCCGCACCCCCAGCACCCCCCAAACCCCCAGCCAACCCCATACCCCAGCCCCCTCGCTTCCCCTCGGTGCCCCCCACACCGAGGTTCAGACGCCGGCTCCCTCGGCATCAGGAACGGGGGCAGCACCCGGATCCCTGCACTGCTCACGGCTGGGCCTGCCACGGGGCACTGCTGTGGCTGGGGGGGGAAATCCACGACAGTGGGGTGCAGGCTTTATGGGGTGCACGTGTGCTATCGTGGTGGTGGCAGGGCACAGCCTGGCTTTGGGGCTCGGTGCTCCCCAGAGACCCCAGACCCTACAGACGGGGTCCCCGCTGCTTCCCCACTGCCAATCCCTTTTGCACCACAACCCAGAGCCACTCCGGCAATGGGGCCGGGGGCGCATCTGACCCCACACGTTGCGGCCTACAGATGGCGGGGGCTCCGGCGTCCTGAGGCAGGATGCTGGCGGGGAGGTGGCGGCTGGAGGGGCGGCGGTGGCGGCGTGCTGAGCAGGCCGTGGTGCTGCGAGCCCTCTACGACTACGCCTACTGTGCCGAGGACGGGCGGCGAGTGGCCATGGCCGCGGGCGAGCGGTTCCTGCTGCTCCGCAAGGCCAACGAGGACTGGTGGCAGGTGAGGAGGGCCGGGGAGCCCCGCTGGGCTCGGCCTTTCTTCGTCCCCGCCACCTACGTGGCCGAGCTGGAGCCCGGTGAGGCGGGGAGATGGGACCTGCAGCCCCCGAGCCTGCCGGCGGCGTACACGGGTGAGTGAGGTGGGGGGGGGGGGCGCAGGGAGCAAAGGGCTGGGGGCGTTTGGGGACACTGGGAACAGAGGGTACAGCACTGGGGGGGGACAAATGTCATGGGGCTGGGGGCTTTGCCCCCTCCTGGAGCATCCTTTTAGGTTGGTGGGTGCCCCGCTCTCTTCCTCCAGGCTTGCTGTCCAAGTACCACTCAGTGGAGAACCTGTGTGGCCCCCCCTCTGCCCCTCCCCGGGAGGCCAGCGGACCCCTGCGCCCCGTGGGCCGCAGCGTCAGCACCAGCCAGCTGGCGGGGGGGGCTCTGCCCGCCCCCCCAGCCCCGCCACCATCCCAGTCCCAGCAGGAGCTGCTGGCCCAGGGCACTGGGGTAAGTGGGGGTGAGGGGGACTCTCCGAGGACAGCCCCCAGCCCTGTCCCTCTCGGAGCACCTGCCCCCCCTGTTCCTGCCCCCCCCCCCAAAAAAAAAAAAAAATTAAAAAAAAAAATCCATGCACCCACCTTCCACACCCCTGCACCTCCTGCCTGCACCCTGAACCTCGCTGGACCGCACCCTACGCACCCCCCCCCTGCACCCCAGCACCCTCCAACCCCGCCCCCGCTGCCACCGCTTCCTCATCTCGGTGGGGGCAGCGGAGGAAGTGCAGTGGGGGGGGGGGTGTCCGGGGGGGGCCGTGCTGCCCACAGCAGGGCTCAGGGGCCGGGGCTGCGCTGCTGCGGGCATCAGGTGGGAGAGAGGCATCAGGCCTGGGGGGGGGGGGGACAGGGCACAGATGCCGGGGGGGGGACACAGCAGGGGAAATGTCTGCGGGGAGGTGATTGCAAAACCCTGACCTGCACTGGGCATGGTGCAGGTTTTGGGGTGTGATGTGGGGGGGGCACGGTGTGGGGCTGGGGGCACGGCAGAAGGGCAAGGCGAGGGGGTGCTGCTGCTGGGGGGGGGCTCCTGGGGCTGGGGGTGTTGTAGAGGGTCAGGGTGCAGGGGTTAAGCCCCCAGGACAGGGCAGTGTCAAGGTGAGGGTCTGTTCTGCACAGGTGCCCCTGCCCGGAGCTGGCATGGTGACCCCCCCCATCTACTGCAACTTCGAGGAGCTGCAGCGGGCGGGGGGGCAAGCAGAGCCCCCCGTGCCAGCTGGGGCCCCCCTCCAGGTTTTGGGGGCCTGGGAACGTCACCAGGACCCCAGCACCGGTCGCTGCTTCTTCTACAACCCCCAGACGGGTGTGACCTCCTGGAAACCCCCCCGGCGGCACCGAGAAGCAGCGGTGGGCATGGGGGGCAGCACCCCAAATGGCTGGGTCTACACGCCCCCACCCCTCCGTGCACCCCTCTGTGCTCCATTTCCCCACCAGCATCCCTCCCCGTGCCCTCTGTGCCCCCACCAATGCCCACCCATCCCCTTCCATCTCCCCCCCGCAATGTTCCCTGTGACCCCCTGATGCTCTCCCATTATCCTATATCCTATATCCTACATCCTATATCCTATATCCTGTATCCTTCATCCTATATCCTATATCCTAAATCCTATATCCTAAATCCTATATCCTATATCTTCATTCCCACCCTTCCCCTGTGGCCTCACCACTGCCCCCCGCACCTCTCCCGATGCCTCCCCAAACCCCCTCCGTACCCACCCCCATCCCTGGCATGGCCCCACCGTGCTGCTGGCAATTAACGCTCGTGTTAATTGCCGTGGGGAACCCCAGCTCGAGGGTCTCCAGCCGTGTCCCCTCCATCGTGCACAGGACCAGAGCCCCGCTGCGGAGCGCCCCAGGAGCCCGGCACACCAGAGCTCCCCGGACAGCGGCGGCACCGTGAGCCACGGGGTGCGGGCACGGGGACGGGGTGGGAGGGGATGGAGGAGGATGGGGGGGCACCGGGCTGGGCAGGGGGGGGGCATTGAGGCAGCGTGGATGGGAAACAGGAGCAGCACCCAGAAGGTATCCGGGGCTCTCCCCATCTCCCCACAGGTGATCCATGGCCAGCCCCGACCCCAGCACGGCCAGGAGGATTGCGCAGCCACCTCGCTGCCCCCCCCGGCCCCCGCCAAGCCCCCTCCTTGCAGCCCTGAATTACCCACGGTGAGTTACCCTGGGGCTGGGAGGGCTGGGGGGCAGCGGGGGCGGCGGGGGCAGCGCTGACTGCTTGGGGCTGTGCTCCCGCAGGAGGTGCAGAAGGCCGGGCAGCTCAACAGGACCAAGATCGCTGAGGGGGGCAGGAAGCTCAGGTGAGGGCTGGGGGAGGTGGGATGGTGCCCCAGGATGGGGGGGGTCCTGGTGGAAGGGGCTGTCCCCAGGGGGGACTGGGGTCGGGGAGCTCATGGGGTGCTAAATCAGGGGTTAAGCTGGGGTTCACCACAGGGCGGGGGGGGCTCTCATTAATTCAGGGGAGGTGTCAGGGCAGGGGGGGGCTTTTCCAGGGCAGGGGGGTCCTGCAGTAAAGCAGAAGGGGCTGTGCAGCCTTGCAGAGGTCTGTATTAAGATGGGGGGGGCTGTGTCAGGCTGTGGGTCCATGCCGGATTTGGGGGGAGAAGGGGTCCCCATTTGGATGGACGGGGACCGTGCGAGCTGGGGTGGGGGGTTTATGCCAGGCTGGAGGGGCTGTGCCATACCTGGGGGGTGAGGGGGGGGGGCTCTACAGCTTCAGACACACAATGTCCTGGGCAAAAAAAGGGTGGTTTGGGCTGTGCCAGGATGGGGGGGGGGGGAAATTTGGGGCAAGAGTGATCAAAGAGCACTGGAGGCCCTCTACTGGGGCGGGGGGCACCGAGCCTGCCCCCAGCCCTGGTGAGGTGCCCCTCACCCACTGCCCCCAGGAAGAGCTGGGGGGTCTCCTGGGTGGTGCTGGCCGGGAACAGCCTCGTCTTCTACAAGGAGCCCAAGGGCCCGGCACCCGCCACCTGGGTGAGTTGGGGGCACGGAGGAGCTGGGGGGGAAGCTGGGGGGGCTGCCAAGGCAATGGGAGGCACGGGGGGACGCTGGGGACAGCAGGGGTGGGGGCTGTGGAGACGCAGGGTACCCCTGACACCCCTGCCCCGCAGTGCCCTGCCAGCAGCCGCCCCGAGAGCAGCGTGGATTTGCGAGGGGCTGCGCTGGACTGGGCCCGGCACCTCTCCAGCAAGAAGAACGTCATCCACGTGAGTGCAGCGGGACCCTAAAAGCACAGCGGGCTCCCCAAAAACATCCAGACCTTGCAGCGATGCCCTCTCAGACAAGGGACCCCTAAAACATGCCCCAGAATGGGCCACGGGTTGCCACTTCACCCGCAGCCACGGAGACCCCCATTTGGGTTGGGGGCACCCCAGGAGCCCCTGTTTAGGGCAGGGTGGGTGGGTCTGGGGTCTCTTGGGTTCCTTGCCCCTCTCCCACGTCCTGCTACCTCCCCCAGCTCCGCACGGTGACGGGTAACGAGTTCCTGCTGCAGTCAGACCACGAGGCCACGATCCACGAGTGGGCCCGGGCTATACGGGACGTAATCCACCGGCTGGTGAGTGCCTGGGGGACGGGGGCTGCCTGGTGGTCGCCCACCTTTCCCTGCTGACCCCCCCCATCACCACCAGGACCTGGAGAACCCCATGGATGTGCCTTTGGGGTGGCTGCGCCACGTACCCAGCAGGGACCTGGCGGAGCTCAGCGGGGACGAGGATGAGGCGCCCTGGGTTACCGAGGGGACCAGGTCCCCAGGTAGGGCTGGGGATTGAGGGTGGCAGGCTTAGGGTTAGGGTTCGGGGCTGTGATGACCCCCCCAGGCCTGCTCTGCCTCCAGGTACCCCCCCTGCTCCAGACAGCTCGGAGAAGAAGCGGGTGAAGAGCAGGCTGAGGCGCTTCATCATCAAACGGCCCCCGCTCCAGAGCCTGCAGGAGAAGGGGCTCATTCGAGGTGGGGATCCCCAGCTCTGGGACCTCCCCTAAATCCCACTGCACCCTTGGAACCCCCCAAACCTTTCCACATCCCCCCTTTGCACTCGAAAGCGGGAGGAGAGGTTGTAAGAGTGAGATTTGGATGCTGGTCCCCAGTTGTCCCACTGTCCCCACCCCAAGTCCCCGTGCCCCCAACTGGACTCGGTGTCTCCCATCCCAGCGCCGCTTTCTGACCCCAGTGACTTACCCCATTCCTGGTGCCCCTCCCTGCCCTTGCTTCTCCCTATTTCCCTGCTTCCCGCCCCCCCCCCGGCCCCAGTCCCCAAACCCCATTCCCTCCGCTCCCAGTTTGCCCCAGCACTGCCTTGTCCCAGACCAGGTGTTCGGGTGCCGCCTGGAAGCCCTGTGCCAGCGGGAGAACACCACGGTGCCCCGCTTTGTCCGGCTCTGCGTGGAGGCTGTTGAGGAGCGAGGTCGGTACCCCGGGGGGGCACGGCTCCCCCCCCAATTAGCACAGAGCCACCTGCTGTGTCTCACCCCATCGTTGTCCCCAGGCCTTGACGTCGATGGGATTTACCGGATCAATGGGAACCTGTCCGTGATCCAGAAGCTGCGCTTTGCCGTCGACCAGGGTGAGGGGATTGAGGGGGCACCAGTTGGGCAGGGGCAAGGGGGCTGTGCTGGAGAACACACCCACGGACAGGGGGAAGGTCTATTTGGGGTGGGGGGGGGACAGGGATGTCCCCAAATACCCTTTGATCTCTGCAGAACGAGCCGTGACCTCGGACGGGCGCTACGTCTTCCCCGAGCAGCCGTGCCAAGGTGAGCCGGGGTGGCTGTGCCGAGGTTGCCCTGGTGGTGTCGGGGGGCCGGGGTGCAGGCTGAGCCCCCCCATTTCCCCCCCCAGAGGAGCGGTTCAGCCTGGAGGACCCCGAGTGGAGCGACATCCACGTGGTGACCGGTGCCCTCAAGCTTTTCTTCCGCGAGCTCCCCGAACCCCTCGTGCCTTACGAGCTCTTCAACCCCTTCATTGAAGCTATCAGTAAGTGCCTCCCCCACAGGGTCCCCAGGCTGTGGGATTTCGGGGGGGGGGGGGTGGTGTCTGACCCCTGTGTCTCCCCCCAGAGCTGCCGGACCCCCAGGAGCAGGTGCAGCGGGTGGCTGAGCTGGTGCAGAGCCTGCCCCCCCCCAACTATGCCACCCTGCGCTACCTCGTGGCCCACCTCTGCCGGTAAGGGGGCTGCTGCCGGGCTGGGGGTGGGCTTGGGGATACCCCACAGAGGGTTCAGGGTATGGGGTAGCTGGGGAGGATCACAGGGGCTGAGCTGGGGAGGGACGGGGTGGTCCCCATGGGGTGGGATGAGGGATTAGGGCACGCCATCAACGCGATGGAGCCCTGGGGGACGAAACCCCAAGGACAACAGAGGCAGAATGGGGGGGGGGGGGGGCGGGTGGGTTGCATGAATTTCCCTGAATTTGGTGCGTTCCCAGGGTGATGGAGCAGGCAGACGTCAACCTCATGACGCGCCAGAACATCGGCATCGTGTTCGGGCCAACGCTGCTGCGCCCGGAGCGGGAGCCCGGCAGCCTGGCCGTGGGCATGGCCCAGCAGAACCAAGCCGTGGAGCTGCTCCTGGCACACTTCGACCGCATCTTCCCCACCCCCCCTTGAGCCTGATCCCCCCCCCAAACTGGGCACAGCTGCCGTTGCCCCTTCCTGCCCTTGGACTCTGCAGTAAGCAGGCGTCTTCCCTGGGACTGCTCGGATCGGGGTCGGCACCAGGAGCTGCCCTCTTCCCGATCCTTTCCCAAAGAGGACTCCTGGAGCCCCCTCTCCGTGCAGTAGGGAATTCGGCGGCCCCAAATTTCCCTTCCTGCTGCACTCCGCCATGCCCCGTTTGCCTCCCCAAGGCTGTTACGACATTGATTCATTTCCACCACTCATTAAAAACCAATCTGGCACCGTCAGACCCACCGGGAGAGTGCCCTGGCTCTGGTGGGTGCCTCTGGGGGGTGCCTGGGGGGGCCAGGGGGTCTGCAGCACGCCGAGTGGCACGGCGTGGTTGTTTGGGAAGAGGGAAAGTGCAGAATCCTGTTGTGTGTGGGGTTGCATAAAGGCTCCCGAAGGGAGTTCAGGTCTTCCCAAAGGCTTCCATTGGGAGCACTTTGATGGGAGAAAGTGGCGACGTAGGCATTTTTTAGGGTTCTAGTTAAGGTTGAGTGTTATAGTCCCATTTATGTTTAGGGTTGTTTGGAAGGAGAGAAGGCGCAGAGTCCTGTTGCGTGTGGGGTTGTGTAAAGGCTCCCCTGGGGAGTTAAGGGGTACCCAAAGGCTTCCATTGGGAGTATTTTTAATGGGAGAACCTGGCAATGTTCGTGTTTCTTAGGGTCCTATTTAATGTTATGGTGGTGGGGGCCCCAAAACCCAGCCCGCACTGCCTGGGGGCGCTTGGGGAAGACGTTGGGCGAGCGATTCGGCACCGGGACCTTTTATTGATCCAGGTTGCGGCCCCGCTGCGCCTCCTCAGCCTGGCTTTTGAGGCCAGTCCTGGGGATTTTGGGTGCACCGGGGCTGGGCGCACGGGTACCACGCATCCCCAAACCCCATCCCATCCCTTACGGTCCCCATCCTGGCCGAGCATCGGCACCGGTAGCACCACCTCTCCTTGTCCCCGTGCGCCAGGGTCCCCGTCAGGCGGCGTGGAGCTTCTGGTGCCGGCGGAGCTGGGATTTATGGCGAAACCCCTCGCCGCATTCGGGGCAGCCGTGGGGCTTCTCGCCGGTGTGGGTGCGCCGGTGACGGATGAGGTTGGAGGAGACGCTGAAGCGTTTGCCGCACTCCCCGCAGCGGTAGGGCTTCTCCCCGGTGTGCGTGCGCTGGTGCTGGACCAGTGCCGAGCTCTCGCTGAAACGTTTGCCGCAAGCCCCGCAGCCGTAGGGCTTCTCCCCGGTGTGGATGCGCCGGTGGGTGGCCAGGTTGGAGTTTTGGCTGAAACCCTTCCCGCAGGCGCCGCAGGTGTAGGGCTTCTCGCCCGTGTGCGTCACCTGGTGCCGCGCCAGGTCCGAGCTGCGGCTGAAGCCCTTGCCGCACTCGCCGCAGATGGTGGGGCGCAAACGGCCCCCCCGCAGCCCCAAAAGCTCCTCCAGGGGTCCCAGACCCCGTGAGCCCCCCGACGCTTTGCCACGGGGCCGGGCGGGTGCCTTCTGCCGCTGCCGCCGCCTCGCCGCCGGGCACCCGGGGGTCTCGCTGCCAGGGAGGGCTGCGGGGAGAGCGGAGCCGGGCACCGGTGGGGGCGCGGGGCAGGCGGGGGGGGGCACGACCCCTCTGCCCCTTCCCCATCCCTTTTGCACCCTCCTGTTTCTCCATCCCCTCCCCAGCCCTCGCCCACCTTCTCCATCCCCTCTTCCCCTTCCCCATCCCATTTCCACCTCCTCCATCTCCCCCACCTCTTCCCCAGCCCCTGTCCCTACCCCAGACCTTTTCCATCTGCCCCATCCCTTTCCCACCTTCTCCACCCTCTTGGCCCCTTCCCCACCCCCTTGACCCCTTTCCCATCCCTTTAGGCCCTTCCCATCCCCTCGGCCCCTTCCCCATCCCATTTCCACCTTCTTCACCCCTTCGGCCCTTCATTCCCCAGCCCCTTTCCCACCTTCTCCACCCCTTTGCACCTTCCCCATCCCCTGTCCCCTTCCCCATCCCCTTCCCTCCCCTTGACCCCCTCCCATCTCCTCGACCCCTTCCCCATTTTCTTGACCCCTTTCCCATCCCTCATCCCTTTCCCCATCCCCTTGACCCCTTCCCCATTCTCTCAGCCCCTTCCCCATCCTATTTCCACCTTCTTCACCCCTTTGGCCTGGCCCCTCCATCCCCCTTCCCACCTTCACCCTTCTTTCCCCTTCCCCACCCCCTCTGTCCCCCCTTCCCTGTCCCCTCTGCCCCCTCCCCACTTTGGGACAGCGCTGGCACCCCGCTGGGCGCCCCCACCAGCCCCCTGGGGACAGGAGGCTGGAATTGGGGTGCAGATGGAGGTTACCCCCCCACCCAGGACAGGTCTGGGGTGTGGGATGGCGACAGCGCGTCCCCAGGTGGGGACAGGCGTGGGGGTGGCACCGCCGAGGGGGACCCCGGAGCCCAAATTCCTGGAGTTGGGGTCCCGGGAAACCCCATGGGGCAGGAGCAGGGCTCCGCTGCACCCCGAGATTGGGGCGTCCCTGTGCTGTGGGGTTAGGGCACCCATAGGGATGGGGTTCCCCTGTTCTGATGGGCTGGGGCATCCCCTGCACCCCAGAATTGGGACACCCCCATATGCTGGGATCAGGGCACCCCAGATTTGGGGTATCCCTGTGCCAAGGGACTGGGACACCCCCATACCCCAGATTTGGGGTATCCCCATGAAATGGGGATGGGGCATCCCCACACCCTGGGTCTGGGGCACCCCCATACCCCATTTTGGGGTATCCCTCTGCCAAGGGACCAGGGAACCCCGTTACCCTAGGATCAGAGCACCCCCATAACATGGGATTGGGGCACCCCTGTGCCAAGGAATTGGGGCACCCCCACTGCCTGGGATCAGGGCACCCTCATAGACCAGTTTTGGGGTATCCCTGTGCCAAGTAATCAGGGCACCCCCATACCCCAGGTTTAGGGTATCCCTGTGCCAAGGGACTGGGACACCCCCACACCCTGGGATCGGGGCACCCCCATACCCCACATTTGGGGTATCCCAATGAAATGGGGACGGGGCATCCCCACACCCTGGGATCAGGACACCCCCATGCTGTGGGACTGGGACATTGTCCTATTATGGGATGGGGGCACCCCTGTGTCCCCCCCCCCCGAATCAGGACACCCCCATATTATGGGCTGAGGGTGCCCCACCAAACCAGGACACCCCCCCATCCTTCAATTGAGCCACCCCAATATTATGGGATGGGGGCACCCCTGCCCCCCTTTTACCCCCCCCAACGAATCAGGACGCCCCCATATTATGGGATGGCAGCACCCCACGCTGTAGGATCGCAGCATCCCCCTCCCAGCCCCCCCCCATCTCCCCCCAACCCCCTCGCTCCCCACACACCCGTGCCCCCCCCCCAATACGGAACCATCCCCACGCTACAGGGGGGGGGATTTTGGGGTCGGGGGGTGGGGGGGGCTCACCTGCGGCCGTGCCCTCGGGGGTCTCGGGGTCCCGGGGGGGGTCCCGGGCTGACGGCCCCCCCTCGGCGTCCATCACGCTCCGACGGGGAAACGCTGGGGGGGGGGGGGGGCAAACAAGCAAAGAAATGGGGTGGGCGCGGGGGGGGGAAGACCACCGACCCCCCCCCAAAAATACAACCGCAGCGGAACCGTCGCCGCCCCCCCCCCCCAAAATAAAGACTCACCGGGGCCTGGCGCGGGGGGGGGGCGGCAGCGGCGGGGCCTCCCGCTCGGCCCCCGCGATGGCGCAGCTCCTGCCCCCCCCTCCCTTACATCGCCCCCCCCCCAAATCAAACCCACCCGGCCGTGGGGACCGGGGGACGGGACCCCCCCAGCCGGGGGGGGGGCGGGGACAAAGGGGGGGCCCCCACCGGGGGGTGAATGGGGGGAGATGGGGACCCCCCCCCCGGGTGGGATGGGGGGGGTGTGCAGGGGGCGCTGGGGGGGGTTCTGCACCCACCGCCCCCCCCAAGTGTCTGCAGCTGGATGGGGCTGGTGGGGGTGTCCCAGTGCATCCCAGTGCCTCCCAGTACATCCAGTGTGTCCCAGTACGTCCAGTGCCCCCAGTGCTTTCCAGTACATCCAGTGCATCCCAGTGCCTCCCAGTATATCCAGTGTGTCCCAGTGCATCCCAGTATACTCAGTGCCTCCCAGTAAGTCCCAGTGCCTCCCAGTGAGTCCCAGTGCCTCCCAGCATCCCCAGTATATCCAGTTCCTCCCAGCACATCCCAGTGTGTCCTAGTGCATCTCAGTGCACCCAGTGTGTCCCAGTACACCCAGTGCTTCCCAGTACATCCCAGTGTACCCAGCATATCCCAGCATGTCCCAGTGCCCCCAGTGCCTCCTAGTGTCCCGAGCATATCCCAGTATATCCCAGTGCCCCCAGTACATCCTAGTGCCCCCAGTATGTCCCAGCACATCCCAGTGCCCCCAGCATGTCCCAGTATATCCCAGCACTCCCTGTACATCCTAGTGCCCCCAGTATGTCCCAGTGCTTCCCAGTGCCCCCAGCACATCCCAGTGCCCCCAGTACGTCCCAGTACATCCCAGTACATCCCAGTGCCCCCAGCACATCCCAGTGCCTCCCAGTACATCCCAGTTCTCCCAGTACATCCCAGTGCTACCAGCACGTCCCAGTACATCCCAGTATATCCCAGCACATCCCAGTGCCCCGCAGCCCGGGGGTGGGGGGGCTCCTCCCGCCCCCCTCCCCGTTCCCCGCCCCCCTCCCGGTCCCATCCCAGCGCCCCCGCCCCCCCCGAACCCCCCAGCCGGGGCCCCGGCGCCCCGAGCCGAGCCCGGCGGCAGCTGATTGGCTGAGAGCCGCCGTGAGGGCGGGGCTTACCCTCCTCCGAGCTTAACGATTGGTTAAAAGCGCCGCGCCCGCTGAGAGGGCGGGGCTTCCTGGAGGGCTCCGCGCGCTGATTGGCGGAGAGGCGAGCGGGGCGAGGCCGGTGAGTCCTCCGCGCATGCGCTAACCACCGCCGCCTTCCACTTCCGGGTGGCGGCGGCCGCTTCCGCCTCCCGGTGGGCCTGCGGCGGCGGCGGCGGCGGCGCCGGTTCCGGGCCTGGGCCTGGGCCTGGGCCCCGCCCCCCTCCGGCCTCCTCCTCCTCCCCCTCCTCGGGGCCCGGCCGGGCCCGGCGGCGGGGTCCCGGTGTCCCGGTGCGCCCGGTCCCGGTGCTCCCGGTGCCGCAGGATGTGGTACATCATGCAGAGCGTGCAGAGCAAGTACTCGCTGTCCGAGCGCCTCATCCGCACCATCGCCGCCATCCGCTCCTTCCCCCGGGATAACGTGGAGGACCTCATCGGGCGGGTGAGCACCGGGGGGAGGGGGGGAACCGGGGCCTCCGTCCCCCCGGGGGTGCCCCGTTAATGACAGGTGCTAATTAGGGACACCCCGTTAGTGTCAGGCAGTAATTAGGGGTGCCCCGTTAACGACTGGCGCTGACTACAGGCACCCCGTTAATTCCTGACACCGGTTGGGGGCGCCCCGTTAATGACAGGCACCCATTAGGGGCACCTCGTTAATTAACAGCACCAATTAGGGATGCCCCGTGAGTGACAGGCGCTGGTTGGGAGCGTCCAATTAATGACAAGCACTGATTAGGGGCACCCCATTAATTCCAGGCACTTGTTGGGGGTGCCCCATTAATGACAGGCACCGATTAGGGCCGCCCTGTTAATTAACAACACGGATTAGGGACACCCCATTAGTGACAGGCGATGTTGGGAGTGCCCCGTTAATGATGAGCACCAATTAGGGGCACCCCATTAATAATGGGCACTGATGGTGTG